ACAATTTAAATCTTATAACAAGTTCGATAAATTTTAAGCAGAAAGCTAGCTTAGTAAGTTGATCAAAAGGTAACGAAAATCTAAAGATTAGTGAATTTTGAAGGGTTAACTCCATTGGATAAAGAAAATTCTGAGTAATTAATCGATGATGTTTGTGAAAAGTGGAGGAAAGGGGGGAGTGGGATTTGGTTGCTTTTTTGATTGTGTATTGTATGATGAGGTGGTTGAGTCATGACAATTACATTTTCATTACTTCAGTTTACTTACTATTAGCAATAAACATTTGACGAACTGACTTTGCGCTCATGATTAGAAAGCATTTTCTGCTCTCTTCAAACATATTACACTTCCCTTCGATCAACAACTATTTGACCGTATTGCATAAGCATTCCCAATACGAATAAGCGTTTTCAGTCTAACAATTCCATTTGCATTCCCCTATTCGATTCAGTTCGCTCTTCATCGAATGCACTCAGCACCACAATCTCAGTTATGTTAAAATGTCATCTTTATGTTGTGTCTTTATCCTCCTGAAAGCACTTTCCGAAACTATATTATAATATTACCGGACAGTTGTCGTTTACAGTTACGTCTTATTAGTTAATCAACCACTATCGATCTAATATCGCTTATTCGACTTCAGTGGAAACCAAAATTGTCACTGATATGTTAGGTCAAGCCGCCGTTTCAACAACCTCATGCTGCACGACTGATACAATCACCTGTTTGATCAAGAATACAATCAACCGACTGATCATCATATTACACCACAATCATTCGTCATGTTCTATGAAACGTCTGTACCGATCCATAATTCGAATAGTCTATTTTTGTTCGGAATGCTTCTCATTGACTGGAAACGAATTCATTGGATGTAATGAAACGGAAGGTTTTTCTTGGACGTTTACTCAATCACATATTCACATATAATAGAGCATATCAAATCTAGCAAAAACGTGGAAAAATAACAAAGTAAGACGAAATGATACACGATGATGTAAAGAATGATAAATGTTAGATGAATGAATACAAAGGGAGATTTTGTTATTATGAATAAATGACGTGACCATAAATGGACGGACGAATGGACGGGCGCTTGGTTGTCAGGAGACGACAGCATAGGATATAGCATTAAGGCGCAAAAAAAGCATTGATAGCATCTTTTATATATGGTTTTTAAAAAAACAATTACGATTACAGCTTATAAAATACGACATTTGCTCTTCTTCTTCTTTTTTTGTTGAAGTGCTGCTTGCGTTGCTTTCTCGAACACCTCTCGAATACCCTTAAAACATTCGCATTAATATCCAATCACGCAACGTCCAATTTCTCATCGTGTCAATGTCCCATTCTATCAATAAACTTTTCTCGATTTAGAAACAATTCGCTATCAATTTCAAGACAAACTCTGCCATAAACAACACTACATTACTCACAAAAACACTTCGAAGATAGACTGCAATTGTTCTAAAAACATGAAACAACAAATGCTGATCACCAAATTATACAAACATTAATTGCTTGTATTGAACCAAATCCTCTGAATAATTCAATAGATTGTTCATTCAAACAACGTTGCAAAAATTTTCTCTCATTGCAAAATTGGATTCTATAGAAATTTACATTTCGAAACAATTTCAACTAAAGCGCAAAATAAAACGTCGATTTTGAGAGGACATTCGATGATCAGTGACCATTCCATTACCACATTTTTGTAGACGTAAATAATGAAATGAATATTGCGAATTTCGCTGATATACCAATCGAAAAAGCGAGCAGAAAGCGGCTCTTAACTGCAAGTAGTAACTGCTGCGATAAGATGAATTTTTTTACTCGTTCAATTTGGAGAGAGAAATTCTTTTGAGTTAACGACTTTGTTGGTCTGATCTTCTGTGATCATCACTAAACACAGTATTGCATTCCATAAAATGCTGTTGACAACTGATTGTGAGCAAGAAGCTCTTCGATATGCGGTTTCACTTTTCCCAAATCGCATATGACATTAGAACTGATAATGAGCGGAAATTTTTTTCGTCTGATCGCGACCACATTCAATTATCTTTTAAAAATGATCAACGGCCGCTTAGAGGATTGCAAAAAAATTAACAAAAGTAGCATTCAAATGGACGTTTTGATAAAATTCCGGCATTTAAGATGGTTTCGCTGAATTGTTTCCTGTGTTTTTAGTCGTTTAAAGAAGTATTCGGTTGATTTGTCGATTGCAATTCGTCAATTCCAACACGAAAATTGCAGTCATAAAACAGCGATTATGTTGAACAATAATGAGTCAATTTAATGTGGATGACATTCAACTAAGTCATTGTTGTTCAAAGGACATTCCATGAGAGACATTTTTTCATCGGATGCAAAGGATTCAAAGGACATTCTATGCAATTTATTCAAAGTATGCTTTCGGCACTTACATCCTTCGCCTTTGCAGAGCATTCCAAGTAAGCAAACGCGCCTATCTGTTCGGCCATCGCTCGCCCCTGTTCTTGACGTACCGGTTCTTGCTTCATCTTTTTCAGTTCGTTAATCGTTTGTGGATCATTCCGTAAATCCTTCTTATTGCCAACCAATATTATCGGCACATTTGGACAAAAATGACGAACCTATAATGGAACAACATTCACTTAATAACACTTCATAAATCACCAACTATTCAGCTTTCTTGGTTCAACATAACATCATTCACCTCGGGTGTCCATTTTTCAGGGATATTCTCAAGTGAATCCGGTGAATCAATGCTGAAGCACATCAAGATGACATCCGTATCAGGATAACTCAGTGGTCGAAGTCTGTCGTAATCCTCTTGTCCTGCTGTATCCCACAGAGCTAGCTCTACCTTAAACACCATTATTCAGTTCCCTTCGAATGCTTACCAGTTAATGATAGAAGCACAAGCGCACTGAGCACAATTTTCATCAGGTTCAGCTCAAAGCGCCAGAAAATGGCATCAGTCGCAAACTAAAATGCAAATATCGAATTCGCGTTCTCAAAAACGGACTCATTCACTTTTCAGAAACAGTCAATTGAATCCGATTTTTTGAGATAGTCACTCAGTTCAACTATACACTACCGACTAACATTCCAATTTTCAAATTTGTCATTAAACTTTAATAATCACAATCTTTTCACCGCAACTATTGCAAACCAATATAAGAATTTAACACTAAAAAATTATTGTTTTCCCTTTACCTGCTTTCCATCAACTTCAATATCGGCCACATAATTCTCAAAAACAGTTGGCACGTAGACGTCAGGAAATTGATCCTTACTAAAAACGATCAACAGACACGTTTTACCTGTAAGTTGGAACCTTAACGTAAAAACTTGATTGTTCAAAAACTAAACACTGATCATTTATCATGCGAGAGCAACTGAACCACCAGATGTACAAATACTTGCACTTCATTCTCAAACACTGAGAAATGTAAACA